AAGGGAGGTCACGTGACGAGTGATCACATTTGAGTACAACATGGCGACAACCGGGGGGGGTGCCACTTCCGAACTTCCTGTTTATCACTCTAAGTCCCTCTACCTCGTTGGCTCTGTTATAATGTTGCCATGTATGTGTCCATGTTGTTCAGTGCATTGTGTGCGTAATGTGTATGTACGAAGAGACTTCCTGTGCGAAGCAATGGGGAGCGTGGAAGTGAATTTGGGTATCACTAGAGTAAGACATTGTTTTTCTTAAAAATATTGAATTGGGCGGTAACAGCGCCACCTGGAGTAGTTTGCTTTAAATTCTGGATAATATTTATGTATCCAGTGCTTTTGGAGTTTGCTTGAGCGCGCCATCTGGCCGTGGACGGTGCAACTGTCTTCGTATTTCCTTTCGCCTGAGGTACCCGAGGTTCGCATCAACCGGTAGCATACTTTTGGCGAGTTGTAAAGAATCGTTCGACGCACCGTATCGGTCGCGTGGGATTACGATCGGTCCTAGAGCTCCTATCCGTTGTTTGGGATTTGCGACGGAGTAATTGCAATATGAGAACGAGAACGGGTAAGTGACGCGAAATTGACTGACCATTGTGGCGATGCGTTTCGGCAAATTTGTGTGTGTGTCTTTTGTTGTTGTGTTTTTTTGTTTGTTCTTTTTGTTTACGACGCGAAATATGATTCGGGGCGCGGATTTCCTCACCTGCACGGGAGCCGGATTTGACAATAAATATATGACGTGCAAAGCTCGTGTTCTGTGGTGATTCGGTGCTCATCATGCCCTGGAACTGTCGGCTCGATTTGGTTGGGCATGGTCGCTGTTAGGCGGTGAACGCGGTGCTTTTCTGTCAAGTGTTGCCGACCAAGCAGTGGCAGACCGCCAGTGGGAGGGAGGCATTTGCCTGTCCGGTGACTATCGGAACACTTTGCGTTGCGGTGGAACTGGTGGATCGTCGATAGCGTGCCGGAAGGACCTACAATAGGCGCTCGATTTGGAGCCGCCATTTTGAAATGCGCCTCCGATTCGACGGAGGAGGAACTTTCCTCCCTTGTTGAAGGCGGTAAAGTTGCTCCATTTCTGTAGGAATATATGTATCAGACTCGTTCCTCCATTTAAGGAGGACTGTGCTGACCCTTTTTTCTTAGAGTGTATTATAAATTTTGGGACAAGGCTGCTATCAGTGCGATTCCTCATTCCACGCTGCACGAAAGAAAAATATAACTCGGTGCTGGAGGCAAATAACACTTGCAAAGCGGCAGAGCAGATTGCAGAAATATGGGCTATCGGCGACTTATAAATAAAAAGGAAGAAGAAGGGAGGAATTGAAATATGCAGTTCGGCAATGCGCACAATCTTGCACAAAAGGCATGTCTATAAACGAAGAAAAAAAAAACACTTCGCGCGTCTAGTGGGTTCGAACCACTGTCGGTATCGCCAGAGCAGCGCTGCCACTCGTCCACGAAACGCGCGGAGGAACAGATTTTTGTTTTTGTTTTTCTGTATTTTCCTGCGCACCACTTCGGTACGTTTGACAGCTTTACACGATACGTATGAAAAGGAGTATAGGTGCCCATTTTGAGAACCACACTGCGAGTTGAAGCAACTCCGAAGGTTCGCTTCTCACAGCGCCGCCTGTTTAATAACCATTCGAAAAGTTTGCACACTGTGAAGGTAAGGGCGTTCACACCGAAGAGCCCTCCTTACAACGTCTACACACACACACAGCTTACAGTTGAAGGGGGCCACTAAGGTTTTAAGCGCCACTGATCGTAGTAATCGTACTACAAAGACGCGGCGTTGTGGTAGATTGTTTTTCACCAGCTTGGTCTTGTACGAATGAGGCCAAGACTGGGGGATTCATCGCCGGAAACGTAAAGGAACCCAGCAAACGACGTGAGGCTCGCGGACGCGGTTCGTCGGAGCCGACGACGTCCAAGCCACGATCCGAGCAGCCCTAGTTGCAGCCTTGCTTCCGAGAAGAATGGATATTCTTTCCGGCGGGCACACAGTACTTAGACAGCATGCTTGCCGCTGATGTGGATTGCAGAAGGTGGATAACAGGACAATCAATGCACAAAAAAATATGTTAAGCACAACACAGAGCACGCTCAGAGTACGATTCTTGCCGCCATGTTGAAATAAAACGAAGCTAAGCCAGGCCAAGATGCAGTTTAGTACACAACGAAGCTGAGACAGGCCAAGTTTAAGTTTAGTACACAACCAACACACTTCATTACAAAGAATTTGATAAATGTTAAAACAATTTTTTTTTTTACGTTTAAATGTTCTAATGTATGTCAACTAAAACACGAATATTCACGTTGCGTCAAATGAGTTTCGTCTTAACCACTGTCGTCGTAACCAGCGAACGTCGTCGCATCGCCATCGCCACCGTAACCAAACTCAAAAACAAAGCCAGCTGCAAACTTTTGGGTGGTTTCAGGCCTTTATGTTTCCGAAAAAAATATCAAAGAACGTTTTTCGAAAAACAAAAAGTGTCCCAGGTGCCGGCGTGCCCATGGAACCAGCTTTGGGTTTGAGTCTACTTGGCGAGTACTCGCCCATTCCTTTTACTTTTTCGGTGCTTTCTTTTCGGAGCGTTTACTTGGTGAATACTCGCCCATTCGTTTTACTTTTTCAGTGCTTCTTTTCGAGGAGTTCGCTGGACTCAACTGGCTACCGCCGACAGAACTTCGAATGAGGTGAGCTGGCTTGGAGCAACCTGCCGTAGGCTGCATTAAGATGAACACTCGGCCCAGTGACGTATGCCCCATAGAAGATTCACCTCGCAAAATACAAAAGTGTCCTTGTGTGTGTGTGCAGGAAGCGTTAGGGCGAACGTGTGCGGCTCATTGTCGTACACGTGCTTTGCGCATTGGATGACCTTCGAGCTTTTCCCAAGGAAGTCCCGGAACCGACCTGTCACTGAGCGAGCAGTCAGATTACGGGAACGGACAAAGAGGCGAAGGTCCCACCGAAGCCGGGGAGGGGGGGGGGGGGGGGGGGGACGACTTCGTAAGTTAATCGGGGACCTTTATCTTGTGGATCGGTGGAAAAGACGAGTGCTCCAAAGAAAAAGCTATACGCACTCTGGAGTGCACTTCGAACGGAAATGGCTATACGCACTCCGCTAATCTGGTATACAACAAAAGGTCACAACAAGTTTTCTGAGCGATGGCATGGCATAGGGTTTAAGGTGTACGCTTTAACGCAAGTGGACGCAGGTTCAATCCGCGGTGGGCCTACTTTTTTCTTTTTTTTTTCTTTTTTTCTCGGACATTTTGTTTTGTCGAGGCATTTGGCGATATTTACGAAATTTCTTTTTTGTGATGAACACTAAAAAAACCGTATGTTGTCGACGAAACTTCGCAAAACTAAACTTTTCGGAGGTGCGATCGAGGACAGCGGGTTTAAGGTGCTGGCTGGAAGCCGCGAAGCGGCGTGTACTGGTTGTTTTGTAATTAGCAGCCGCGTATTGTCGCCGTGAAGCGGCTTGAATGCAGGCGGGGGGCTGTGTCCCAGTGATACACGCGCCGTTCAAAAAGGGTGGCCCGAACGGCATGAGCTCTCGCGGAGTGCATATAGCCATTTCCGTCCGAAGCGCACTCCGGAGTGCTTATAGCGCTACTCTTCTGCTAATCGGGTGGCGGCTTGGTACCACCTAACTATGCGGTTTGTTTCGCGGAACACATGACTGCTGAATGTACAGTCGGGGACAAAAGTCTCCAGGACGCGCGAGCTGCGACTGAAATGCATTGCGCTGCCATCTGCCGGCGGGTCGCCTGGTTTCGAGATCACACAAAAGCGCATGCATTTCCTACTGTGCCTGCAAACATGTGTGTGTTCCCGCTCTTCTGCGGCGCGTTGCCTAACTCGAAATCGGGCGCGTGGTACCACCTCGGAGATAGCGCTGGCGGCTGACGAGCGTCTGCGACACGTTCCGATACTATGCTTCGTTTCAGCTTCGATCCGAGCGCGGCCGATGTTATGAGCCAAAGGGCCAATCAAGGAGCGCAAAAAACGCAGCGTCATGGCGTGCTCTCTGCTCTTGACAGGACTAGCCGGTGGAGGAGCGCGCACAGAGACACGGCGAATACCGGCTGGTCCTATCAACTGCAGAGAGCACGCCGTGACGTTTCGCTTTTTGCGCTATTTGATTGGCCCTTCGGCTCATAACATCGGCCGCGCTCGGAGCGAAGCTGAAACGAAGTATAGAAATACCGCCTGCGGGATTGCTCCACATTTCGCGGTGTCAGCGCACCTTGCTTTATAAGCAGTTCAGCTTATCGCTCAGTTGAGCTGCTGTGACTTGTTGCTTTGTAGGTGCCATGTCAGTAAGCGGTATCTTTCAGGCGGCACCACGCGCCCGATTCCGAGTAAAACGCCGCTTCGCAGAAGAGCGGGAAAACGCACATGTCTGAAGGCATAGTAGGACCTGCATGCGTTTTAGTGTTATCTCGAAACCAGGCGACACGCCGGCAGATTGCAGAGCAATGCATTTCAGTCGCAGCTCGCGCGTCCTGGGGACTTTTGTCCTCGGCTGTGCCCATTATGTGCTCTTATTTGCACCCCGTTTGCATTCACTGCGGGTTGTTCGAATTCAAGTTAGATTCACTGTGTTGATGATATTGTTTGCGAAGAGTATAAAGAGTTTTTTTTTTACTAGGGCACGGACGATTTGTACAAAATGCTGTACATGTTGCATTTATTTTCTAGCCCTCTGGCTGTAGTTTATTGTGAATGTTTTGGAAAAAACTCGCATTAAGTAGTTACAATATACATATAATATATATATATATATATATATATATATATATATATATATATATATATATATATGCCTCCACTACCTTTAACCAAGAAGTATGGTTTGAACCGGAGCAGTAAGCTGAAGAATTACAAAGTTGAAAATGTAATATCGAGTGATAGGGTAAAGATAAAATCGCACGTAAATATTGAGACGGAACTCTCCCTTGATTACAACAAGCCCGACCTGATGATACATGACCGGAAAACGAAGGAAATCACTCTGATTGAGGTTGGCATCACCAACAAGAATATCCTGGCCAAGACAGAGTTGCGAAAATCTCAGAAATACGACGTACTGAAAAAGGAGCTCAAGGTAATGTACCCCGGGTGCACAGTAATTACAGTACCAGTGGTGATGACCTGGGATGGACTTGTGACAAGACATTTCAACTTTCAAGGGATATATGAAACAGCTCGAAGTCACCGACAGACTGCTGGCATCCATGCAGTCGGTAGTCTTAAAGCGAACCTGCGAGGGCATCCTTGAAGACTGCCGAAGAATACAAAGAGGGGACTGCCTGGAGGATGAGGTGGACGAAATGATGGCTCAGCTCGAGACGCAGCCCGCAGGGCTGGAACAAGGAGCTCAATAAATGCCTAGATGAGCTCATCTGAAAGGAATTAGTTTGATACATTAAACAATTTATATATTTGTATATATATATATATACATATATATATATATATGTGTATATATATATATACATTGTGAGCCAGGCGGCAAAACCCGCAATTCGGTCTGGCAATCATCGTGCCCACGCGCTCAAGAACTGGCGCGTGGAGTTGTTCTTGGTCGCCTCGGCGCGTTATGTCGCCATCTAACCCAATTCTCTCTTAATTAAACCTTTTTACATTCTTTATCCGCCTACCAGTCCTCACATTTGGCGCAGTCGACAGCCAACAATGCCAGGGACCCCGACCGCCGCTCGCCCGACCTCACGGCCTGCTCGCCTTGCCTGAATTTACAGACTGAAGTACGTAACCTGCCCTGCCTGCCGTTTGTACTTCACCCGACCGCAAACGCAAGCCCGCCTAGTGCCTGCCAGCCACCATGCCACTTATAAATTGGGCCGAAGCTACGGCCGACGACGTCGCCGGATTTACGGTGGATTTTTCCAAAATGAGTTACTTCGTCGGAACCTCGAAGTTACCAAAACCAAGGAGGACATCATCCACCGCCTCCTCGCTGACATCGCCCAAAACAGACCGCCAACGCCACCGGCATTGCTCCTTCCCGACCCTGCGACTTCCGCGCATTGCTCGCAAGAGTCATTGCCTCTTCAGACTCTTAACCCAGCGCAAAGTACGCAGCTGCTGAAAAGCTTGCTGCAACAATTGCTCAACATGTCTCAACCCCCAATGGCCCCCGTTCAAGTAACGACTCTCCAGATTTGTCCGCGTCACTGCCGACTTTTAGCGGTGACGGAGGCATCTCAGCCCGACACTGGATTGAGGAATTGGAACGAACACAAGAACTGGTGTCCTGGGAACCTGTGACGCTTCCTGGAGTCGCCCTCGGGAAGCTTCGTGGCCCGGGAGCCGACTGGAAAGTCGTCACTGGCCGACAGTGCCCAATATGGGATAGTTTCAATATCGTGTTCAAAGCACAGTTTGACGACAGGTTACCCCTCTTGCAGCGGCAGCACAAGGGTACCTCTCGAGTACAGTTACATGGAGACAGCCTGGTGGACTACTCTCTAGCAAAATTAAAGCTCATCTCCAAGTGAGTGGGCAAGGCGACAGCAGAAGCGACATGTCTTACAGATGGCTCTTTTCTTGCGTGCAGTAGTGGCTGCTGCTGCTTTCGCATCACAGAATACCGGCATGCGAAGACGCGTACGGGCATCGACACAGAACCACGATTCTTCAAAACTACGTGCTCGAAAAGGTGCCAGTCATCCATATACCGACGACACCTCATCAAAATCTGCACAAAGACGTGGTCTTCGACCACGTGCTTGATCGTCCACTCATCTACCACGGAGGAACATCCACGTCAGCCTTCGAGACTATAAATTAACAGCCCAACGGACTGATGGGCAGTGGGCAAGGTGACAGCAGAAGCGACATGTCTTACAGATGGCTCTTTTCTTGCGTGCAGGTAGGTGAGAGTTTTGTGACTGCTCGTATCGCTCAGACGATCGTTATCTACTGCTGTTGCCTTGCCCAAGGCGTGTGAAACTTTTTTTCGCTGCCATTGCCGATTATTGTTGGGGGCACTTGCGCTGATAAGGTGCGGGGATGTCTAAGAAAATCCTGGCCCAAAGACAGACACAATGCAGCAGATACTGGAATGCCAGAAACAGATGACGGTTAATTTATCATCTATAGTCGCGAGCCAAAAAAGTTTTGATAAAAGATTAGAAGCGATTGAAGCGTCCACTTCAAAGATAACTGATCTTGTCATGACGCTTGGTGTTACACAAAGAAAGGTGGCGAATTTGGAAGCGACCTTATTAAAGCTACAAAAAAAAATCGATGACTTAGAAAACAGAAGTAGAAGAAACAACTTGGTAATCTATGGAGTGGCAGAATCCGAAAAGGAAACGGGGTTGGACTTGAGACAAAAAGTAGTTGAAGATGTTTTCAAAACAAAACTGAGTGTTGATTTGACGTCCGTCGAAATGATTCACCGTCTTGGAAGGCTACCTAGCAGAAAGCCGAGGCCAGTCATCTTAAGCTTTGGAAGTAATAACGAAAAACAAAACGTACTTAGGAATGCCAATAAGCTTCGTATTTTCGTACTCGTATTTTTATTAATGAGGACTTTTCAAAAAATGTAAGTGTTGTCAGAGGAAAGCTATGGGAGAGTGAAGCAGCAAATAAACGAAATGGAGACAAGGGGATCTTATCGTACGACAAGCTAAATATCAATGGAGTAACGTACGAATGGGACTCGGATACTGACCAGAGAGTCAACTTTTTGCAGCCAATGTACCGCTCAATGTACCGCATCCTGAACAATGACCTGAACCTAATTCACAGGAAATGATCAACCTTAATGCCCGAAGTATTGTAAATAAATCGCTTCAGCTCGAACATATCTTAATATATCATGGCCCCAGTATAGTGGCTATCACCGAAACCTGGCTTGATTCATCAGTGTTAGACAATGAGATAGTTACCCCTGGTTATAATATTTTTCGAAAGGACAGAGGAAGTAGAGGAGGAGGGGTGGCCCTAACAGTTCAATCGTCCCTGATCGCTTCTGAAATAGAATGTGCTCCAGGTATTGAAAATGTGTGGTGTAGGATCAACTTAAAGAACAGTGAATTAATAGTAGGTGTAGTGTATCGCCCTCCACAAATGCCTCTTGGATATTTTAGAGAGTTAAATGAGTTTTTTTATGTAAAAAATAAGTTTAAGAAAGTTATTTTGATGGGAGATTTCAACCTTGGTGGGATAGACTGGGCTACATTAGGAACTGGGGACAGTGAAGTGTCGTGCTGCGAAGAATTTCTGGATTTGGCCTTCTCGCACAACTTGACACAGGTGGTCAAAGAGCATACTAGGGTACAGGGGGAATCACGATCCCTAATAGATTTAATATTTGTCAGTGAGACACTCTCCCGTCACACATACGATTGTAAGACTCACCTGGAAATTTCTGATCGCAAAATGGTACACTTCAAAATATCGTTGGAAGCTACACTTAAGAAAACGGAAATATCTTTAAACCGAAGCTTTAAGCAAGCTGAGGACGAATCAAATATTGAACAACTAGGCTCTACGATACATTTGAGAACCTTGCTACGAACCCCTGATCGGAGTGAACGAGCTATGGCTTAATTTTAAAAGGACTGTACTAGAATGCATTCATAAGTTCGTTCCAATGCGCGTTAAGAAGCGGAATCCAAATAGTCCTTGGATTACAAGGGATATAATCCATCACAAAAGACTCGTAACCAGGTGTATAACAAAAGTGCGTGGGAAAAGGATGGGTTGCTAGAGGCTAAATTACGTACGCTAAGTACGGAACTTAAAGCAAAAATAACGGCATCGAAATTCTCCTTCTTGAATGTTTAAAATGTAAAAGTTCATAAAATATTCACCAAGGAGGCTTTGGCGACAACTAACATCAAGCAAAAAAGGAGTTACTAAGATGATAGTAGGAGATAGGGCTATTGAAGACAAGAAACAAATCGCAAATTGTTTTAATGAATATTTCGTCAGCGTTTTTTCTACTGATAATCATGTCCTGCCGGAGTTTTCTTTTTTTGAAAATGTTCCCCCAATGATTGACGTAGAAATATCAGAAGGTATTTTTTCTTTGCTACTTGGTATCGATATATAAAAAGCTGCTGGTCCTGATAATACTCCTAACGAATTATTATAACGTTACAGTGAATAGTGTTCGAAGTATCTTAGCCTCGTCTTCAAGAGATCGTTGTCAGATGGAACTGTTCCAGATGACTGGAAAATCGCCAAAATAATGCCTGTACATAAGAAAGGTAACGCCCCCAAGCTCAGTTACAAACTATAGACCCATTTCGTTAACATCTAGTTGTAAATTGCTAGAACACGTCATTTCAAAGCATATGAGAACGTTTTTAGATGCTTATCAAGTACTTGATAGCAAGCAACACAAGTTTAGAAAAGGTTTATCTACCACTGCTCAGTTAAGGGAACTGATTCATGATTTTTCTTCGAACAATAGAGGCCAGGTCGACATAATATTTTGAAATTTCCAGAAGGCCTTCGACAAGGTGAATCATAATAAGCTGCTTGTTAAACTAGAGCCTTTGCTTAAGAATCCCAAGCTCCTGCGGTGGATTGAAGCGTTCTTGACTCTTAGAAAGCAGTTTGTTAGTATTGATGGGCATGATTCGATGCTACGAGAAGAGCACTCGGGAGCCCGCAAGGACCTGTACTCGGACCCTTGTTATTTTTAATTTTTTTAAGTGACGTCCTTCGTGATATTACTGTAAAAGCAAGGCTCTTCACTGATGATTGAATTTTATATAATTCTATAAACGATGACAGTGATTCCATCGGGTTGAACGGTTGTTTACAAAAAAATAGCAAGTGGTGTGAAAGCTGGCAGATCTCTTTAAACCTGGAAAAGACCGTTTGCATGTCAATGACACATAAGAAAACTCCTGCGGTGTATAACAACCCCTTAAACGGAAAGACTTTGTCTAGAGTAAATGAATTTAGATACTTAGGGATAACAATACCTAGCGATCTTCGATGCGACAATAACATTATTAATATAATTAAGAACGCTACAGGTAAACTTTGGTCATAAAGAAGGTCGTTAAAGGTGGCCACTCCGGAAACTAAACTGTTAGCTTTTAAAATGATGATAAGACCAAATTTAGAATATGCTAGTGAAGTGTGGGACCCTTACAAAAAGAAGTTAGTATTAAAATTAGAGAGGATTCAGAAATTGGTGTTGCGCTTTATTTTTTCAAAGTATAGGAGGCTAGATTCACCAACGGAACTGTATTCCAGGGCAGGAATCAGTCTACTGGAAGAAAGGCGGAGGAATAAACGCTTGAAATTGCTTTACTTATATTTGAACGGGACACTTCTGCTAGACAAAGATAGACTGATAAGACACCATACCTCTAGAATTACTCGAAACAAACAT